TGCGGAAGGTGCTGCTTGGCGGTCTGCCTGGAGGCTCGGTGCCCAAAAAATTTGCGCATCGCGCACAATTTTGTTTGTTCATGAGATGGGCCGCGACACTTTTTTGTACATGGCCATGTCGGGCCCCCCTATAGGGCCCCCGCGCGGGGCCCTGCCACGGGGCCGCCCGGCCTGCAGAGCCAACATGACAGCATAAATATTCTGTTTTCCTGCGCATGATGTAACCAAAACTTAGGCAAACACCCATTTGCGCCAGATAAATTGCTTGCATTCCTGCACAGATATATACATGATCGCAGTCTGGCAGCACGCACGTGGGGTCAAGGTAATGACCCGTCCGGGTGAAACGTGTATGCGGGTGAAACCCTTGAGCCAAACTGTACAAAAAGGAGGCATGTGCCTTGAGCCGCAGGTTTAGGTTCCCTTAAACTGTGCTTAACGAAGCATGTTCCTGGTTTAGGGTCGCTTAAACTGTGCAAAAGAAGGCAATTGCCTTGAGCCGCAGGTTTAGGGTCGCTTAAACTGTGCAGGCATTTGCCTTGAGCCGAAGGTTTTTTAGGGTTGAAGGTTTAGGGTCTTTAGGGTTATGCGTGTATATGTATGTGTGTGTGTGTGTGTATATATATATATGAAGATCGAACGAATAAGAAAAGAAGAATTGAAGAAGAAGAATATTGAGAATTGAGATCGAAGAAGAAAGAAGAATTGAGGAGCGATTGATCGACTGATTGCAGACTGAATTCCTGCGCTGAACCCTACACCCCTAAACCCCGAAACCCCTGAACGTACTCCCGTGTGGGTTTGTGGGTTTCGGGTTTCGGGTTTGGGTTTAGGCTTTCACAACTCGGACATGCCAGCATCCATCCTTTTGCGGGCACCGCAAGCTCTGCGTTCAGCACCAACACTAGGCGCTGCAACATCCTCAGACCTAGGGTCGACGGATGAATCGATCGAGACTTTCCAATGCCGCATGTTTGGCCAATATAATCCTCGTCTGACCAGCATGCCAGGAATTTCGGATTTAATCTCGAACCATTTGCCAGCTTGCATAAAACTTCGCAGACCAGGCTGTGAAGGCGAGGCCTTACCTTCCACCGAGGGCGGCATTCTTGCAATGCATCCAGAGCAGCGAGCACGTGAAGCTGGCAGTAGAGGATGCCATGATGGTAGGCACGCATTGCAGTAGCATCATCGAAGAACAAGCCGCTTTGCTCCAAGAGCCAGTTAAACTGCATCAGCGCCCACATCATAACAGCCGGTCGCTGCAGCTGTGGCACAGTCGTATCCTCGGCCCCAATCTAGCAATGGTGTACCACAGCATATTAACAAAAACTGAGCTTGCTTACGCGTGAGATTTAGCAAACGATGTTGTCAAAGCCAGGAATCAGCCAAAAAGTGAGCTACCCAAGAGCACAGGACCTTGTTGGCGAATGCTTTTGACAGTCCCAGCGGATAGTCGTACTGCACACTGTCCACATGCAATTTCGTCAAGCCTCGTTCTCAAGCATTGTATAAGAACTGACTTACATACTTAACCAATTATATAAGAAAACAACATCGAGCAGAAGCATTTCCAAAGCTCACTTCCCCCATATCTGCATCGAGAAGCTGAGCTCATCGATTGTGGATTTGTCGATCCCATGAGCTTCGCAAAAATCGTGCACCATAGTCAGCACTTGTGCCAGTGCACCATCAAAAGTCTCAGACTGCTGAAAGCGCGGGTCGAAGGTGACGATTTCCATAATGACAGAACCGATGGAATCACGGGCGGCCCCCAACCACAAGACGTGGAGGAGGTCTGCAGCCTCCATGTCCATGGACCATGCATCCAAGCTCCGGAGCCTGAAATGTTTAGCAGCACACACCTTTTGGATCTTACGAAAATATGATGAGTAGAATCCCTATATAGATAGGTGCCAAGAAACGGGAGTGTCTCAGGCACATTCGCATGAAGGTTGTCATGAACCATCTCCGGTTTGTTAAAGCTGAGATGCAAAAAATCCAACCAGTGTTCACCAGCTGGGGTTTGTCCGCAATTGCAACGTCTGCAGAATTGTGAATGCGAGTAGTCCTTCTTCTCGCACAGCCAATCCTTCTTGTACTTCCAATCTCCCTTGCCGGCACAGTATTGTAGCGTGGCATCGCCACGAATCCCAGCAGTAGCAGGGTTTGCAGCAATGCTTAAAGACTCCACCACCGCTGCTTGCAGAGCCTCCATTGTCAAGCATTTCCCAGAAGAAGAAAAAGCCAGATTGGAACCACGGATCACCTGAGATATGAGGGCAAAATCTTCTAAAACTTGAAACCTTGCATGCACAACATACAGCTGAGGGGCTGCTATCGGGAACTTTCGGAAGAGGACCGAGCTCGTCTGCACACCCAGCACATGCCAATTCAGAATCAGCACGTTCCGATCCTTCTTGCCTTGTCCCTCGTCGCCATGTATCAATATTGGTATGGCGGATTTGCGAGCAGATGCATTGAAAGTGGTGTTGGCAGGGTGTTGCCTTGGATCTTTAGCAACTGTATGATGCAATGTTCACCTGCAGGCAGTCAAAACATTAAATAACCACATGCATGGCAAGCATCGCGGCCCACATTTCAGATTGGGCAGCTGAGTCCCAGAAAGAGGACCAGTCACAGTCCAGGCCCCTCAGTTCCATATACAAACGGCTTTGCATGGCAATTAAACCACATGTACACGATATCGCAAGCAAGCAACATCCATGCATCGGCGCCCGCCGCTGCCAAGCCCTTTGCAAAGTTCGATGGCAGGAAAATTGGCCACTTCTTGTACACAATCACCTTCTCGGCCAAGCCCTTCTTCTTCAACAAGTTCATGTACCCAGACCGCCCACGTCCACGTGCACGGCCTTTGCCACGGCCCTTGGGTGGGCCGGCAGCTCTCGCAGCCGCAGCTCCAGCCAATCGTTTGACTTGCTGGATCTCCACAATAGGAATCACCACATATGAAATTTTGCATTGGAGCGGAACCTTGCAAATGAACAAAGGTAAAAAACAAACATGGATCAACATTTGCATGCATCACACATAACACCGACAAGGCACACCATGGCTGCGTCTCAGAGCAGCCATGACATCTCGTTCGGCATTATGCTTGTTCTGGCCCATGGAAATTCCAGCAGCAGATCGAGTGCCTTAAATTGTAATATTTATGTGCATATATGCACTTAACTTGAAAGTGCGCGAAACTTCAATGCATAGCCGAGCCACCCGAAGAAACATTCTTGGCCCCAGCTTCTGAGCAGGCTGCTCGCGCCATATCACCAAACGTGGAGGCAGCAGCCCCCCGGCCAACCTGCGAAGCCGCAAGCCGCATCAGCGGCGAGCCCTTGAGGTCCAGCTGTCGCTTCCGTTTCACGCCTCCCACTATATCATCTCTAGAACTCCCAGACTGTATCTGCTGTGCCGCACCATGCTTCCCTTCAGACTGTATCTGCTGTGCCGCACCATGCTTCCCTNNGCCGCAGCATGAAGAAGCTTTGCACGGCGGAGCATGCACGCATAAGGAAGGCCATGCAGCCAACGGCACGCATATCTGAACAATTGCTCGTGCACTCTCAACCTCAATAGTCAATTCAATGCTCGACTGCTGCATGCATGGGAACCACATGCACACATGCACAAAACCAGGCACGACATGCCCGGCCTATAATATTGCCCCTTGGGCCCTCGCGAGAAGCAGCATTCACGAAGCATCACTCGCAACACGACATGCCCTGAATCTGCCAAGCAATCGGAACAAGGACATGCACATCTGTCACTNNAGAGAGAGAGAGATAGAGATAGAGATAGAGAGAGAGAGAGAGTTAGAGAGAGACAACGATCTCGAGTGAACATGTGCAACCAGATTTTTTGGTCTCATCACGAGATCCTGCATCCTGCATCGCACCATGCAGCAGGCTGGCAAAAGGAGAAAACACTCGTGCTATGCACATGCGCATGCACATGTTGCACAGTGTTGCTTGGGAGCACCGATGCACTATAGCATGCAAAGCAGCTTCAGCTCAGGTTTACACATATATTGTAAAATCAAGTCAAAGCTAAAACCTAAAGCGAAGTGCTCGAATCATACAGTTGCTGCTAGGCATGAGCATCGCTCCCTCAACCAAGGCCGAATCGGCACACCAAGCTGTGAAGCATGGGATTTCACGACTTTGTCAACCCATCATCCACATTCTGAGCATCCTTATCAGCCGGCGCCGCCTCCTTCTCAACCTTCTTCTTCTTCTCGTTCTCCCGCTTCGCAGCGCCGATCCTTTTTGTGTCACATCACACAAGAACACACACGAACACACACACACACACAAGCACAGATCATGCACAACTGCGATTGCAACCAAGACTCAGATTGTTCCCCGTCCGCGTGTGCTTCAGGTAGGCTTGCACGTACGGCTTTGCAGCCATAAGAATGTGATCCATCGTCGTGCGACAGCTCTCGGTCGACACATCAACGGCCATCATATCCTGCATATACAAGCACATACCTACACTAGACGTACGACTGTATAATCATGTACATGCAGCTAGCACGGAACACACAAAGCAACTCGATCGTGGGCTGTCCTTCCTCGCCTTGGAGAGCCCCTCCTTAGCCTGGTTGATGAGCTCGCACAACTTCTCCTGCGATTCGAAGCTTTCCAGCCTCGGTTCATGTTGCTATGCATGCATGAAGGCCATGACAACAACAATGATTGAAAGCCCACCGTCTGCAGTCTAGGAACTCGCACACCATGGTCGTAGCATGCCCTTGAGCATCGGATACTGCTTTGGTCCAGGTCTCCTTCATCGAACCATGCAGGTGGATAGTTCAATAAGAAAAAAATACACCCAATGCATGCAAACCCTGACGACAACGGCATCCTTGAAAGCAGCCAGGCCGGGGAGGTCCATGATCGGCAGCTCCGTGTGGATCTGCTTGTCGGCCTGGCTCATGCATGGGGAGAAATCATGGCACGTACAAACTGAGATCTGATGTGCCGGCCTTGGATTTGGCTTTCGCCTTTGCTTTGGCCTTCCCCTTGGGCTTCTTGCCGCTTCCATCCGCGGCAGCATCCGTACCATCGTTGGGGGTCGGCTCCACGGCATCATGTGGTTTGCCCACGTCCGCAGCTGGCTGTTTCTTGAACAAGTGCGGGTGCTGCTCGATCATCTGCGCCAAGCGGGTGGCTACCTCCAAATCTGCGCCCACCTCCACTGTAATCTGGTCCTTACATGGCAAGCACAGGAGTAACACCACCACAACAACAACAACAACAGCAGCAGCAACAGCAACAGCAAAGGCACCATCACCATCACCAACAACAACAACAACAACAACAACGACAACGGCAACAACGGCAACAACAGCAACAACAGCATGCAGCATGCAGCAGCACAGAATCATGCCAAGTTTCGAGTTTCTTCGTGGTCCAGGTTATGCTCTCCTCTGCAAAGAGGAGAAAGGTTTCCTCGCCGGTGTTCCTGCAAACGCTTGTGCCGCGGTCTTGCTGACGCCGCTTCGCAGCAAAGAGCAGTGCTTCAGACGTGTCGTTGCGGAAGTGCTCCAGCACTTTGGCCCAGCTTTTGTAGTTGCCACTATCCGCGTGGGCCTCCTCGCTCGTCCGCTGCATTCTCATGACAGCCTCTATCGCCCGTCCATTTCCGCCAGAGTACATCCATTTAGCGAAAGCTTGCAGCCTGTCGTCGCCTCCGCTCCTTGAATCACGGAACAACATGCAGGTTAGGTAACATGAGTTCGCACAATGTTGGGATGCAGCAAACTGCAAACGAGTCTCTTCCATGCCTTGTACAATGAATGGCACTGGTCACCATTGTTCAAGCAGAAACGCTGGAAGCATTTCCACTCGGCCATGTGGGTGCTGCTGTTGAACTGCCAGCCGCCTGCACTCTTCGACTCGGCAACCATGGGCGGCGGGGCCGCCTTTGCAACTGCCGTCTGTGCACACGGCTGCGGGGGCACAAGAGGTGGCGCCTGCACTGGCTGCTGGGGCACACTCGGCGGCGCCTGCACTGGCTGCGGGGGCACACTCGCAGGCGCCTGCACGGGCTGCAGGGGCACACTCGGTGGTGCCTGCACCGGCTGTTGGGGCACGCTCGGTGGTGCCTGCGCGGGCGACTGCACCTGTGCTGGCTCTTTCTGCATCAAGACTTCCAGCAAAGCCGATTTCAAGGGTCCCTCAGGCATCTGAGTCACCGTTTGCAAAACATCCACGGACCCCTCACTACTCTCGGCGGCAGAGCTCACATCGCTGTCCCGCGATGCACTTCTCCCCCATTGCTTCCACCAGCTGTCGTACTTGGCCATCTTCTCTGGCGGAAGCTGAGGCAGTGCCTCTGCTTCGGCCTGAGCCTTAAGCGAATAACAAACTTGCATGAACATGATTCCACAAGCAAGCTTCTGCCACTCCACCCAAAACTTAAGTCCAAGATACAACCTGTCGTTTGGAAGCAGGCTTCCGCGTAGCAGGGAGTGTGGCCGGCAAGTCATCCCGGGATTCCTTCTTCATCTCCTCAAACATAATGGCCGGCTTCCGAACGAGCGAGGGCACGGGGGTGCCCTGCTCTCCCAGCTCACGGCGCACCGCATCGGCAGAAAAGGTCACCGACTCCTGTCGAACCACAGGCCCACTCGAGGGCTCCAGCTCGGAGCCCTCTGCCAAAGCTTTGGCACTGCAGCCTGCCGGGCTGAGGTCCTGCATGCATGGGCACTTGATCAAGTAACTCGGGGTACATGCAGTCTGTTTGGCCACAAGAGATAAGGAATGCATGCACACCTCAGCAAGCCCCTCAACCCTACAACCATAAAATCCGCAAGCCTCTATAAAACCCTAAGCCCCCCCCGCCCACCCCCCCACCCCCC